AATTTTCAAAGCAATCTAGTGATCTACAAAAATTGACCAATCAAAATAAAAACAATTATTCTGGGCCGGGCCGGGCCGGGCCTAATTTTAAGTTAAAGCCCGGCCCGGCCCGTTACTCTGGGCTTTTTTTTTTCTGGGCCAGGCTTGGGCCTAAAAAATTTTGTCGGGCCTGAGTATGGGCCTGGCAAAGCCCGGCCCGGCCCGGCCCATTCTCCACCCTAGATGATATAGTGCCAAAATTAGATGTGATTTCTATATATCTAGAATTCAGAACAAATCCCAAATTTCCAACCAATTCTAATTACTCAGATTTGTTGTTCTTCTTGATCAGTTGAGATTGTGACATAGAATTTTTAAGACTCGTTTTGCAATATGAAGTAGATTTAACTATGAAAAAAAAAATAGAATTAAACGCCTTTGAGTGGGCTACACATCATAAGAACCTTTCGATTTAGAGTATATTCCAGAATATAGCAAAGAAAAAAGTATTAAAGAAGCAATTAATCAAACATCATTGTTCAGTGAAGAGAGAAAATACCTTAAAAGTAAGCAATATTTTTAAAATATTTTCCATGGGCCTATGAGTGTAAGAATTCATATAAAATATGATTTTATATTAAATTTATGGCTTAATTTAAAAAACAATTCAATGAATTAAAATATAAATACAACGTATTTTTATAAGTTCAGGCTTTAAATATATACAATATTTGATACATTTGGATCTGACGAGGTCTTTAGTTAATTAGTATCTACAGTAGCTTCTTTTTAATAGAATATTTTGATTTTATGTTTGATGCGGATTGCGGAGTGTGAATTCATCGGGTGCATAATGAAGCTGACCAAAATTATGCCAATCGGACTGAATTATATCAAACTTAATTGTGGTATAAATTCGGGTAAGAAAATCCCGGGCTGAAGATCGCTGAAGATCACTTCCGATCCTATCCGGATCCAATAAAATCACAGGATCTCGTAAACAAAACAAACGCGAAAAACATAATTGTAAAAAAAACGCAAATAACACAAAAATTTACTATGATAACTAACTTCTGACCTCTAAGTAAAAGTTTTCAGAATGAAATTTTACTTTAAGATATGATTGTTAATGTTGGATGTATAGTGAATTTTTGATATACTACGACCCATATCTTTTTGGCCGTCAGCTCTGACATAGCAATCCAATTGCAAAACTATTAACTTAATTAAAATTCAATTGTTATAAATAGACAGTTTATTAAATCCCAGTTTTATTAAATTCGATTTGTAGATTTAAAAATCTACAATCCGATTTTTATATTCAAGATGGGTTAAAATCGAAATGAGTAACCCGGTTCCAACCTTTACACATAGTAACATACAAGACTTTTTGCAATTTATTGCCAATCGATGTTAAAAATTTGTACATTGTTTAACTTGGCGGCACTCATTGTATTTCAACGGAGTTTCAAAGCAGGTGGGAATAATTATTCTATTGTCTACTGTCTCTGGAAATTTTATTGATCCAGCGCATCGTATAAGTTCCAACACTTCGTCAATCTTCATTAAGTGCCTCCGAACTTTATTAACACAATCACGAATAGCTGCCTACCAGAATTACAAACATAAATTAGTAGCAGAATATACCCATATGAATTCCCTTAAGTCAAGTGAAAATCGGTCCTTTCCGAGCAAAACACTTAGGGCAATAAGAGTGATTTAGAACAAGTATTATCACTTTTTTCAATTTTCTTTTGCACGCGTTCGAGCTGACCCAAATTTGAACCCACTGATTTGCTTGTTTCTTTTTCAGAAATTTGTATTACGACACAAATAAGTAAACAAAATGTATTCACATTACACCACCTTAGCTTTCCAAGTTGTTACAATTAGTGGCAGAGTTTCAGTAATGTGTGTAGTAATGAATTCAGCAACTTTGTAGACATCACCACGGCTTAAATGGCACATGTATCCCTCAGGACAATCTAATTCCAGTAACATTTGTCTGCAATCTTTAAGAAAACAAAAAAAAAAAAAAAAAAAAAAAAAAAAAACTCACCTGCATGTACGAAACCCACTGTTTTCAAATTACGTAAAACCGCTGTTGATCATTCAACTTCACACGCCAATTGTACAAACATATCCTTTAATAACTTCGGCAGCTTGAGCCTGCTTTCTACAAGCCATTTCGTGCCCTTATCAGTTTTATAAATCTTCCCAGCTTCACCACCGAACTCTAGATCTGATGACGTTCTCAATAAGAGATCACCCTTCCGACCAACCTTTTGCCTTTTCATTTTATCGATTCCAGGTATAGTACGATTGACATTCTTCCGTAAGCCAGAGGCAATATTACAAGACTCACCACTATACAATTAACGTTAATAATGTCACTTATTTAAAATCTTCTCTGTATTTAAATAAACATGTTCCGAATCAGATCTATATCGTCAACATCAGCGAAACACCTATCGACAATGGCGCACCAGGGGTGCATATTATACCACTGTTCGAAATGGGTTTTCCTAAGTGACCCTGTCTCATACTCCTGTACACTATAAAACCAATATAATTTAACAATCAGATATAACAATATTAAGTTAAAGGCCCACTTTTCTATAAAATCATCGTTAGTATAGTCCATACATTGTATGCATTACGTATCTAATCCAATCGTAATCATGATGCTTTTTCGGATTAAACTCTCCTTGTATAACTTTAATTGGTTGATTGATTGCATGTCTTAACTCATGTAATGTGTCCTTTTCGAGAACGTGCAAATACTATTTAGTAAAAAAAGTGTAATTAGAAATCTATTTATCCCTTTTGTATTACCTTTGCGAATGTCATTAAATAATCAAAAAGATCATTTGGGATTTCCGGTAAACTACGTCTTTTGTATGCACCGATTTCTCTCAATTCTTCCTTGGTAAAAACATCATTATCCACATATAATTTGTCGATTGGGTCGATTATGAAGCTGTGCGAAGCACTTTGAAATTTCACAGTGTTATGGGATGTTAGATTCTAATGTCAATATTAGAGATTGTATACAATACATACTGTTCATGTGAGCATTTACTTGCAAAATCGTAGAGGGCATCCTCCACTATCTTCCCTGTAGAGAGACGCCACTTTTTATCATCCTCCATCTTCTCGTACATATCTGTGAACTTTTTAAAGCTATCAGACATTATGAATTTAGATTCCTTCATTTCTTTCCTTTCTTCCTTTTTTTTTAGACGTTCAACGACCAATACTGTGGGTGAATTTTCTCCAATATCGTCATCGGTTTCATAGTCATCATAGCTATGGTAGTCATCATCTTATAATCATTTTCGGAATTATCTAAATTTTCAATAACGCATTCTTGCAGTTCGTACTGTAATAGGATTCATTTGAGTTTTAAATCATAATTCAGCAACAATCAAACAATAGTGGACTCCACCTTATGAATTTTGGCGCGCTTTGTTCTTTCCTTATTATCAGAAGATCTTGCATGATGTTCCTGTACGTGAGTTTTATAATACGATCCAGAATTAGTTTAAAACATAAGGCATTGACTATTGTCGTTTTTACCATTTCTGTGAAGTAATCATTCGGAACTTGAGTATCTGATTGTCCTTCAAGCAGCCTAATAACTTGACATGATTGATCGGTTGTTGCAACATTCAACATATTCAACGCAGAGATTTGTGTGTTACTTTTTACGTCCAATTGTTAATATTAATAAATTATTATAAAATTGAAATTTATTAAAAGACATTTCACTACACTACTCGTACTTGCTTCACTACTAATCTCCTTTCTTGTTCGACAGTTTTCCAATATTCCATAATTTCCTGTTTATTACTTCTCTACGAAATAAGTTATTAAATTAGATCCGTTCAAACATATGAAATATCTCATATATAGGATATTTTTAATGTATGGACTTTTAAGAGCCTGCTATATATAGCACCGAGGGCGTTACCTGGCTCCAAGAGGTTAAGGGCGTTACCTTCCTCTCAGTGATGCAAATATATAGTCAAGCTCGCAAAATATGTGCGAGGGCGTTACCTAACAACCCCTGGTAAAGGGCGTTACCTTCCAGGAATTGCACATATTTTGCACTAATTCCAAAGATTGGTTCCGTTCAAACATATGAAATATCTTATATATGGATATTTTTAATATATGGACATGTTAGGAGCCTGCTATATATAGCA